TTAATACTAGTGATATTAAAATACCTAATTTAGCTAAATAATATTTATGGAATGTCCGAACCTATATTATTAATTATTAATATATTAATATTATTTGTCTAAATCTAATTACAAAGCATGATTTTTCGCCAAGTAGAATTTCGAAGCACCAGAACCAACACGATAGGCTCATCGCATGTATAATATATTTATTAAAAAATATCACAAGTTCTTTTCCCTTTGCGTGACGCTCCAAGGCACAAACAAGCATGCATCACTCAGAAAAATATCCCTGGTCTCGGCGCGTGTCACACTCTCAGCCTCACAGAGAGTAGCAATAGTACAAAACCATCCCGCAACAGAATCACGAGCCTCACTTCCCGAGTCCAGCAAACAATATTCATGCATGTAGGCCTCCTTTGCTTTTGAGATTGGATTGATTGATATCTTTATAAATTCAGGAGATGCCACAGTTCTATAACGGAACTATTTCGTTGGGATTTGTAATCGTTAAATTGTCATGTAATCGTCAGAGATAGTTGATCTAACGATTTCAAACTCCGACAAAATAGTTCCACAAAAGAACCGTAACATTTTCCTATAAATTCATGAATATAGTGTGATTGGGACTTTTTATGCCACTTGACATGCTAATCTTACAGGCTCAGTGAAGGTTTTCTAGATGGAGCTCCAAATTACATTTCCGGGTTCTTATTGGGGCACGAATATATTATTAGGCATATTGTTTAGAGTGATTGTTTATAAGTTTTTCCTAAAAAAATTTTAATCTATAACTCAAATCTTACACAAATTAATTTGCAACAAAATCCAACACAATTTGGAGGATGGATTTTAAAATTGTCGAGAAATATGTACTAATAAATATTGCCTATATCTTCTTTTTCTTTGATAGCTTGCAAGAATTTGTGTGTTTTTTTTTTCTTTGATACCGGTACTAATTCTCGATCTGATCGGATCGCCCTTTGGATCGTACTCGACTTAGTATGATATCACATATCGGTTATCATCAACTGATAGGACTCTATCTTGTTTCATCCAGAGCCAATAACAACCCCGCGGGATATGATAAATGCATATATCCTATCATATCTAGGTTCAGTTTTTATCCGAGATGAATATTTTACTTTCTGAATTTCGTGCTCATTTAATAAATGGGTCAAAGACTCACCCCATTAAAACTCTGAAAAATTTCAATTTGATTCCTTTAACAAATCACATATTATAGACTATGTTGTTTCCGAACGCGATTTTGTGTGTTTGCAAACATGCCAGACTTCTTTGTTTGTTCAAAATCTATATAAAAAAAGAAACTAAATAAAAAAGTTGTTCGCAAATGAGCTCGATTCGACTTCTTTAGTTGTCTGAACTAGGCTTGATCATACTTACGACCTGAGCTTGAGCTTTCACGCGGTTCGGCTTGTTTATTAAACGAGCTATGTGGGAATGTGTATCCGAATTCACCTAATTGGCTACTTTATGTTAATCATGTCATGGCAGAACATAAATTTTTTCCTAACATAATTGTTCTCCTCATATTTCCATATTCTTAAGGAAAAAATAAAGACAGACATATTTGGCACCATGCAGTACTAGTTAAAAACAAAAACGAAAAAAACAAAACCACCGGGACGTAAGCCAGAGGGACTCTTTAACAATTTTCGTGGCCTTTAAATTGCAAAGCTCCAACGAAAAAAAACAATCCACAGATTCTAAGATCTGTACCTCACCTATACTGTAAAAACTAAAAACCCACAAGCCCAATTCTTGTAATTAAGCCAAAAAAAAAATGGAGATTGAAGCGCTTAGCAATATTTCCATCAAGGGCATCCTCGGATTGCTGATGGCGAATGTTGACGCTGATGGCAAAAGGGTAATTTCGCTGGGCATTGGCGACCCAACAGCTTATTCTTGCTTCTGCACAACCGCCGCTTCTCAGGAAGCCGTCGTCGACGCCTTGCGCTCCACAAAATTCAACGGCTACTCGCCCACCGCTGGCCTTCCTCAGACCAGAAAGTACCCTCTCTCTCTCCCTCTCGAACTTTTTGTCTCTGTTTGTTAATTTTTATTCGGAGTTTCCTAGGATTTTGAATTTAGAAGGTTTCCTATGTTATCATCGGATTTTGTTTGTGCTTGATTTGTTTGGCTGACTGAGAAAAACAGGCTATGCCCTGAAAAAAAATATTGTTGTTGTGGGTGCTGGAGCTGGTGGGCCCAGTCCAAGAAAAAGGGGTAGATACTGTTAAAAAATTGGGGCTTGTGAATAATCTTTAAAAAAAGTGATCTTTTTTGGAGAATTTTAGTTCATGCTAGCTCCAATTTGGTGTTTTTCTTGCTTGTGTAGTGCAAAGCTCAAATCTTTTTATTGTCTGCCAAGCAGGGCACTGGCTGAATACTTCTCCCTCGATCTCCCTTACAAGTTGCTACCCGAGGATGTTTACGTTACGGCTGGCTGCACGCAGGCTATTGAGGTTGCTCTGTCGAATTTGGCTCGTCCGGGTGCTAATATCCTTCTGCCGAGGCCCGGTTTTCCCATATATGGAATTTGTGCTTCGTTTAGGAATCTTGAAGTTAGATATTTCGATCTTCTTCCCGAGCAACAATGGGAGGTCGATCTCAGTGCATTGGAAAAGCTAGCCGATGACAACACTGTGGCTATGGTTGTCATTAATCCCGGAAATCCGTGTGGGAATGTGTATTCGTATCGACATTTGAAAGAGGTTTAATCTTGTTAAACTGGATATTTTTCTTTAAAAAAAAAAAGCGATCTTTAATTCTCTCAAACTTCTAATTCTTGGTTATGGTTCTTGAAGAAAAAGTGATCTTTCAGTGAATTGAACCACTTATAACCATATATGGTTTTACAATATATTCAGATTGCTGAAACTGCAAAGAAACTCGGCATTGTTGTGATTGCGGATGAAGTTTACGGGCATCTTGCTTTTGGGGCAAACCCTTTTGTGCCGATGGGAGTTTTCGGGTCGTTTGTCCCCGTTATCACTCTCGGATCCTTGTCAAAGAGGTGGTTAGTGCCAGGCTGGCGCCTCGGTTGGCTAGTCATAAATGATGTCGATGGCTGTCTAAAGAGCCCAAAGGTTCGTTACCCCCCCCCCCCCTACTCTTTTATTGATCTTATAGCGAGAATGAGTTCAGTTTGCTTACGTTTTTACCTTTTGCTGTTATTTGCTCAGTTTGTGGCAAGGCTTAAGAAATATTGTGACATTAATGGAGGTCCTGCAACCTTCATACAGGTAAGTTTGTTAATGTTATACACTTCGGATTTTCTGCGCAAGAAGTATAAATCGAACCATTTTATAATTGTTTTTAGATTAAAAAAAAGGAACTGTTTAGCTGGTTTTATGAAGCCACAAAAATTTAGCAACGATTGAACGGTTCGAAATAAGTGCTTCTTCTTACTCAACGAACGTTCATTTTAATTTTCCAGGCGGCAGTCCCAACCATAATCGAGCAAACGCAACAAGTTTTCTTCGGAAAAACCATAAATATATTGAGACATGCTTCCAACATTTGCTACGAAAAGATTAGAGAGATTCCTTGCATCAGCTGTCCTTCCAAACCGGAAGGTTCCATGGCATTCATGGTAAAAATATTGTTACGACGCCGTAAAAAAAAAAATATTTATCAGATCAATTAGTTTAAGACCAAATTATTATAATGAATTTATTTATTTTTCTGAAAACAAAAAGGTGAAGCTGAACGTGTCGATGCTCAAAGATATTAGCAATGATATCGACTTCTGTTTCAAGCTGGCAAAAGAGGAATCGGTTATAATTCTTCCAGGTTACATAAAAATCCTATATATTGCCTCGTGTATCGTTAAATTCGATGTTTAGTCAGTTAGTATCGACACTTTTTTTTTATTTATCATGCAGGGCTTGCTGTAGGCGTAAAAAACTGGCTACGAATTACATTTGCAGTTGAGCCATCGGCTCTCGAAGAAGCTTTGGGGAGGGTGAAAACTTTCTGCCAGCGACATTCAAGCTAGCACAAATCGAAAATATCGGTAAATTTGGGTAATTTGTTTATCAAACAAAA